CTAATAAAAGGACTGAGGTCCAGTTAGCTCTGCTTTGTAGCAATCCATCTCTGTTACTCCAGTCTGCTCCTTGTTCACAGTGAAGTGAGCAAACTGCTATAGAAATTTCCTCAGATAGTTGACCAAATATCATACTATAAGTGGGACTATTCAAACACTTAAAATATTTAGGCACTTCAACTACAAACACAACTTGCATTCTCCTAAATTCAGCCCTCTTTGCATGCCATGGAATACATATGGAAGAACAAAAATATTAATCATTGTTAGCAGAATGAGAAAAAAATAAAAAAAAGGAGGCAATTTATAAAAAATTGCAAGTATAACATTCATCATCTCTTTCACATTTTCTTAGAATCCCTTACTTTGAGATTTAAACACAGTTTCTATACAGTTTTTTGAGATAAAGAAAATAAAACTTTATTTTTTCTGCATCAGAGAAATAGGCAATATCTGCATTTTGAGAGGAGACTGCAAACCAGAGATGATCTGCCACAAAAAGAGATATATTTCTGTTAATTAATGATTTTTTCATTATGGCAGTTTCGAAAACAGGTCTTGGACTAGCAGCAAGACCTGGGATAAGGTTTCACCTTTCCCTAAACTGCAGCCCTGGAGTAAAAAAAGGGAAGAAAAAAAAAAAACAAGCTATTTGAAGACTGGAAAAATATCTGGCTAAGATAAAATTAACCATTGATTCAGTCATGGCAATTTCTAAGTGTTATTGATTTGATAGCCCAGGGTCTGCATACAGCAAAACAACATCAGTAGAGAAGTATGGTGACAGGATGACTCAAGTGTACTTTTCTTTCAGATATCAAGGGTAAAATTTACTCTGGAGGAGAGGAGAAAAGGTCATTACAAACACTTTTCACACAGTACAGCAAAACAAGTACATGGATGTAGATTGCATGTCTATAGGCTTTGTACTGGAGAATATGGTTATTAAAAGTTAAGTAGTACTCCAGACAGATCAATACATTTCTAAGCAACAAGAGAAAAAGAACAAGCCTCACAATGATATAAAGACTGCCAGATCAGATGTACATAGGGTCTGTTAGTCATCTTCTCTATTGATTGTTATCAATCTTCAATTAAGTGAAGATTAATTCAACTGGGCTAATTATCAAACAACCAGCCTACTGGGAAAATTTCTTTCCCAGCCCTGGTGACTGTTCATTACATCAAAGCATGACATGATGCATTTTCTCTGTACTTAATTCCGAAAGCGTGTGAGCATAGAACACCATGGATGATGGGAAAATCCAGGTAAAGCAAGGTAGTTTATATTCCCATGCAGATGGCCTGGAAACATGTTAGATATGTTCCCACAGCACTCAACACGATCATCCAAAATTAATAATCCCTGCACAGACCCATTCACATCCTCATGGTGTCTCTCACAGCATCCAACTACACATGATCATGATGCAGGCACGTACATCTGGGTCACTTCCTGCACACACCTACATCCTACATTTGGTGTGGATTCCTCAGTGTTTCTTACAATTGATGAATTTCACCGTGAAAGTGACTTTGCCTTGTGTTCAATGGGTATTTAAGGTGAAGAAAACATTATGTTAATAAGGTGCTGTCTTTTTTTTTTAGATCTAGTTTTGAGTTTGTTGTCTTTCACTGTCATTGAACTGTCTCTTTACTCCTATTGTAAGAAAATGCAAATTAGAGTGGCTTCTGTCAAAGAGGTCCATTCACTTTGAGTCTTCCCAATCTAAATAGCCTTGGATTATTTACTTTTGAGCTCTCTTTATACAGATATCTTTCCATGCCTTTAATTAGGCACTTTACTGTTCCTGACAAGCTTCTATTTCAACAACATATTTTATTTTAGTAGAAATAAACAGCCTTCAAGATAAGATCCTTTTAAAGTGCTTCATGCACTCTTTCCTCTTCTTGACCAACTTAAATAATAGCATGTCATCTACAATTTTTGTCACCTTGCTTTTCCAGCCACTTCTTCAGACAATGGATAAGTACATTTACCCACTCTAGTATCAGCAGATATTTTGTGACACTACTGTTAAATTTCTTACCATGCTGAAAATTGACTTTATATTTTTGAATACTTTTTTCCTGCTTTTTTTCTCCCTGCAAAATTCCCTTTCCCTTATATCTCTCTTTCTCTTTGTATGACTGTCCAATTCCCTCTCAACACACACAATCGCAGTTTTCTGCTTTCTTCAGAATTTTTATTCAGCACTGGCTGCTAAAGTTGACAGGCTGCAAAGAAATCACTGGAAACACAATAAATTAACTTGTATTATTGTTACTTTCCATATCTACATCAGACACTGGATATCTATGACCTGGCACCAATATGCAAGAAAGTTGGTGTTTATGCTCCCCTATTAATAACTGGCTACAAAAAAGTTCCCTATCTGTTCAATTAAACAGAAAAAAATTAAAAAGAACTTTAAACGGATGTAAGTGAACATTAAAGAAAACACTTTTCTCTAAATGCAATGATGCTGCTCATTTCTGATGATCTGATTTCTTCCTTGAATTCATCCCTCACGGATTCAAGGCACTGTAATTCCCAGAAGTCATTAGCTCTCTGCACCTCTACTTTAAAAACACCAAATGAGTCATTGCCCTGAATTTTCCATTCTAACTCCAAATTCTTCAGCCTGAACACGTTTTGGGCATAAAGAGGTTACTGCTTCTTGAACTGTATACAAAAAGAACTGTCAGCCCAAGTAAAGTAGAAGCATCATTTAGCCCAGGAGCCCAACTCTGCCTTTGAGGGTGAATTGATAGCCAGGGCAGCGAGGGAAGTCAAAAGGTTTTCCTGAAAGTCATTCCCATTTCCCAGTGGTCTTTGCCTCACAGCTGCCTGAACAAGGAGCTCAACTAAACTTCCATATTTAATTACACCTTCTGAATCTATCAGACAAGATTGGGGCTTTTCCAGACTGTTTTTACTTCCTTTATTTATTACATCAGCCTCCTTGCAGTCCTGTGGTACTGTTTCCAGTTGAATTCATTGCATAAGGAAAGAGCAAGCAAAAAAAACCTCCCAAATCCTACTGTCTAATCATTTGAGTATCCCTTAGCTCCTATATGATGAAAAATAATCAATTCCTATGTGCTTTCTGTATACCACATGTGATCTCCATGCTTTCCTGTGGCAGTTCCTCCAACCATCTTTTTAATTTATTTAGTCTCCCCATACATGGAAGCATTGATGTTCCCAACCATCTATGTTTTTCCATTCACAGAAGGATTTGTAGAGATTTATATCACTGGACAATAATATTTCCTTTGTTCCTTGTACATAAGTAATACAAACCCACAACTTCATATTTTGCTTTTCCCTGAATATAGGGTAATTTCAGAAAACTATGCAGAAGCATCACCTGAAAAGGGTAACAAATTGAGAATCCATTCCTGTGTACACAAAGTTATTCTTTGTATATTTTGCATTTAATTGATTATTGTAAACAATTTTTATGAGAATAAAAATGAGGTAAGTTCCCAGAGAGAAAAGAAGTTCTTGTGATTAAGGCACCCAAACCATATTTAGGCAACAGAAAAGTGTATTTTCTGGGCTAGGAGGTTCTGCCAGTTTTCCCCATCTCCACGCTCTCATAACCAAAATAAGAATGTCAGCAAGTTCATTACAGATAGAGAGAAAATCAGGTATATGCCTTCTGGATTTCTGCCAGATAAAATTTATTTGAGGAAAGCAAATGTAAGGTGTTTGTCAAAAATCCTACTTCTTCAGCAGAGATAAAAAGCACTGACAATGTTTTGATCACACATATTTATATGATAAATAATAAAAATGAGCACATTTCCTATATTGGAGATCAAGGAAGGATATTCAGACAGAAGGGTGAAACGCTGTTTCAATTCTTACGAGATTCAACAGTGAAGGAGACACATCTTATTAAATATTTATTACACTTGAATAAAAAACATACTTAATAATTAACTGTTGTGCATTTAATTAACATAATGATTGCCCAATTAAATAAAAGTGAAAATTTAATTTGAGACACTTTAAGCACAAGGAGATTAAGGATAAAATATGAATATCCTGAGTCCTCAGTTTTCACCACTGAGTGTGGAGGTGATATGTGGTGAAGCAGCTCAACCAGAATCAGCAATTTAGAAAGAGTAATAAAACATTCTTTCATCTGCATCTGGCCACAGGAAGCAAAAAATGCCAAGCAGGAGACGGTCTGCGAAATTTCATCTCAATTTCAAAAATAAAAAGCACAAAAGGAGCCCTGCCATCTATCCCCACCCACAACAAGGGCCGTGTAATCTTTTCTCATACCCTTGTCATGACAGTCTCTTACACAAAATAGAACCCACTTAGGGGGAGAATTTTCCAGACTTTTATTTAAAGCTATAGAACTAAAAGGTTAAAAAGACTCAACAACCTTGCTAGGCTCTTGCTCCACTACCTGTCTCTTTGGTGTCCCTCCTCCTAAGATTATCATGCATTCTCCTCCACACAGATACCAGGGACAATCACAGTTTCCACACTTCAGAATGTCAAAGGCAGTACACTTGTATGAGGGGAGGTATTGCTGCTTAAGTGAGACTAGAAGGTTTTACAGCTAGCTCAGTGCAAGGAGTTTAACAATAATTCCCAGATCTAGTGTTCTAGTAAAGCAGAGAAACTATTCAGTTACAAAAGAATGGTTTGGATTCTAAGTTTCTACTTCTTTAGTAAAAACCATAAACTTCTCATCAAAAGTTATGATGTTATGAAGTGCCCTTTGTACAGCGCAGATGCCGTTGCAACTTAACAACAGTACAAGGAGAGTTCTTCAAACTTAGTTTAAAAATCACTTTCGCATGGATCCTATTTAAGGAAACATCTCAGAGTCAAACCTCAGTTCCTACAAGCTCTCTGCTTCTTCCCCACTAGAGATCTGTATTGTCGACATGTCTATCACTGTACTATTAAGACCACCTCACAATCACATTAGAGCCAATATAAAGCAGCCAAGACAAGGTTAGGTCATTACCTGTGATATTGCAAAAAACACGGAGTGGTCCAAGTGGTCCACTTCCATCAGAATCGATGTAGAAGAAACCTGATGTCTTCCCTTGGTGTCGGTAAGCCTCGCAAGAATGTTCATAGATAGCTTTAAAGGAAAGAGAGTCATTGCATCACAAACAAGGAGAAAGCAGACAGACATGTTTTATGCGTAAGTACTACTTTAATTATTGTCATAGCATATACTGGTTATATGCAGTTGATTAGCATGTGAAAGTTTATTGCATTTGGACCTGAATCCATGCTCAAAATCACACATGTATTTAAGGAATTCCTTGAAATTAATATATGCTGGCTTTAAAGATACAGGTATTCGCTTTGTTCTGGATTAAAGTACGTAAATACTTTAGCAAATGAATATAAACTTTGAAATGTACCACATCTAGTTATGGAGTGGTACATATATGCATCCATATAATGGTGTTTCAAAGACATAGGTACATGCATGTAGACATGATTTATCACCTAGGCATGCATTTAAGTCTTGTCAGCACAAATGACAGATTTTTTGGCAGTTTACACCTTCCCTGCATGATAATGTTAACAGGAAGCATTAAAGCCCATTTGCCAGCCAAATGAAATCAAGCCCTTGTCCCCCAGCAGAAAACCTTAAGCTCAGGTACGGTCTCCATCACAGGTGGTGTTTTTATGCTTTAGAACTAATTTTATACAACCAACTTTTTCTCTCTGCTTGTCAACATTCTTTTCTTGGAGTATTAGTGCCCATGAAAATCCAAGTGGTTAATAAAACAAGCAGCAGGTCACCAAGAGCAAGAACAGAATGAGAAAAAAAATCTCATAGGTCAGCACAATTCTTATATTTGAGGCATGTTTTTGGGCAAGAGGTAACTGTCACTTCATATGGGGCAAAGAGAAAACTCCTGCAGAAAGGTAGTCCAGTATCAGAAAGTCACATGCATGATCCTAGACCTTGAACAACAAAATCTCATTTCAGAAGACCTGATTTTTTTTTTCCTCACCTGCTTAAACACTTACCTGATTATACTGACAAAATTATTCTCCCTAACAGCTTATGATTGCAGTGTTGAGGTTGTAAATGCAACTGCAAAGTTCCTGGTTTGGAACTCAGGGAGCTTTGCAGATTGAGTGAAGGGTCAGCACTTCCCCTCTGCTTCTGAAACACAGTCCTGGCCTCTCCTGTAGAAGGCGGGAATTACTCTGCAGTAGCTGGAATAGTTCCTCACTCCCACTCCTGTGCACATATGGGCTCACATTCCTCCTTTCCCCTCACTTCCTAAAAATAGTTTCTCTAATGAAACAAATTTTAGAAAGACTTAAATGCTGAGCCCTGAAGTAGCGTTGTCCGACTATTACTCTGAAGAATGCTACAAGATAGTTCATTACTCGGATTTTGGACATTTCTTCACTTCTGCCAACAAAATAGAATCACTGTTCTAGGGGCTCCAGAACGAGAATTAAGTCTCACCAGTTGATCACTTGTACCACACACAGAAATATGCTTTTTCATTGTAAATTTCTTTCCTCACCAGATATCTTTAGCAGACAGAACACCACTGGGTTAAGATGCTGCTTAAGGTACTCAGCACCTGGTGAGGTAGTGCTTTAATTAGCATCCGTCCTTAGAAAGCTTCCATTAAGAAAGCTTCATCCTTAGCCTGATGTAGAAAGCACTGTAGGAGTCTAGAATATCTCTAAATTCCCACTCTGATAGCTGGCCAAGAGTATATATTAAATGCAAATTAAGTAAAATCCCCAAACCAGAACCAATTCTTCCACTATTCACAACCTGAGGGGCTAACAGAGAGTCCCTCAGTTGCCGAAGTGCTGACAAAAGCAGTAGGGATATGGAGGTCAGGAGAGAAACTGTAACAGGCAATTAAGTAAGCAACCAAGGAATCATGGTTTGATCAATTTGCAAAGTTCTTAAACTGCAGTTCACTTACTAAATTTGCTGTCATCATCATTATAGGACATTTTATCTTGTCTCATTAGGGAATATGCCAATTGCTTCGTCTAAATTGTTTGCTGAGTATTTTTGAAGACAAAGGATGGTGTGAGGGGTAGAGAAATAAAACAAATATATTGTCAGTGAACTGACAACAAAACTTTTCTTTCTTTTTCTTTCTAAGTGTTCTTCTTCTTCACCATCATTTTGTCTGGAACCCATATCTACTTTTTACAAATTGGTAAGGAAAGATGTGAAGATTCAGCCATTAATAATGCAGGCAGATTCAAAGAGAAATGATCTATTTAACTTTAGATGGCCCCTTTGTCATTGCAACTTTGGAAAAAAAAAGGCTATATGGAGCTAGAAGTCAGGCTGGGAGTGCTGAATGGGTATAAATCTGAAAGGATGCACAAGCTTCCGTGAAACTACAGTTATGTCTACCAGAAGGAAATCCATCCTGGTATGTTTTCCTTTCAGTTATATGAGAAATCCAGCACTACACACTGTGAAGTAGCAGAAGTGGGAAAAGGCTATAAACGTCGAGCTAAAGCACATAAAACATATTCTATCATGACTTAGAGAAAAGCAGTTTTGGTGGACAGCTTATTTCATAACTGTACACTGAAAGCTTCACATACCTGTAGCTTAAGCATTTGGTACTGTGTACTTCTAAACTGGAAATGTATGAGCCATTGATTTTAGTTCTCTTTTTTGCTATTTTTTTCTGTATAATGCATCAAGGAGAAAATTACATTTGTTTTCCAGTCACTGGCAGATGCCCCCAGAGACATTTCGAGTGCACCATCCATTCCAAGCTCTGCTGAACTATTTTGTGGGCTAAGACAACAGCCCGCTTCAGAATAAAGTTATGCAATTCCATTTGCTGAAAAAAGCCCTCTTATGCCAGTGAAAACAACTTGAAGCTGTCTTTATGGGCCCATGAAAGACAAGATCTCTTTGCAGTCATTCTTTGCTTTATGCAATCAGAAATATCATATGAAAGTAAAAACCAGACAAAGAATCAGCTGTTAAGACCCCAGAACCTTAGCTTTGAAAACTGCCCTCATATTCATGTTCTGTTTTGTGTCAGACTTCTCTGATATAGATGAAGTTTTGGGAACAGTAGGGAAACCATTATTGTAATTGTCATTAAAGAGTCACCAACAATTACGCATATAATAAGCAAAAAACAAGCACCAAGCATAATGATGGAACTGTTGACAAGTGCATACATTTTAATGGAAAACAACATTTGCAGTAATTACATCTTTTGAATAAAGGAGAGGTATTCATCAGCTCATTCAGACTAGAACCCATCATCAATTTTCAAACATTATTTTTAAATTAAAAAACTCCAAATAAATACAAAGAATAGTGATTTCATTCGTTTCTGGGAAGTCTTTTAATAGCATTTATACTTTGGTTTCAAATTTTAAAATGTTTACCAAAATGGGTCCAAAACAACAAAAAAAAATTCTTGATAGGATGCTCATGCAAAGCTTGTTTTCTCATTTAAATATTTTTAAAAACATAATTTAAAAAATTAAACCTCTCAGTTGTATTTTGTCTCACAGAAGCAAGATCTGTTTCCTTCTCTAAGTCTTCCACACATTTTTTTGGCTAATTTTGAATAGCACCAGCCATTGAAGATAAAATGATAGTTTCCAGCAACGTTTGTTTCACTGAGCCAGAAACACCGCAAATCACAGTTTATGACTTTCAGCCCCTGCTGTGTTTCCTCAGGCCCTTCTGAGAATAAGCTGCATTGCCACACAGCAATAGCCCTGCTGTTCCCACAGGCAGCCAGGGTGAAGCTCTTTGCTTCACAGAGCTGCATTATGCCAGTGCTCAAAGGAAAGCGATGTCAGCAGCGCACACGAACTCAAACTCCCCCCCTGCAAGTATGGCTTGGACCTCACAGGCAGGTATGGCTGGTAAAAGCATTAGGGTAAAGTACATCACAAGGCAAAACCTCAGTGTAAAAGGTTTCACAGGGCTATTGCTGGTAACTGGTTACTCCAGGAAGACAAAACAAGAAACATCTTGACTTCAAGGTCCCAGATTTAGTAAGGAAAACTGGACATCAGAAGTGCCTGTTTTACTTGGTCACAAAGGATGTCTTTTATTGCTTTTTGTTCCCAGAATCACTTACAAGTTATAACATTGGACCTGTGCTGACATTTTTGCTCTGTAAGGAATTTTTTTAGAGGCTACTGCTGTGTTTCACAAAGAAATTTAAAATTCTCCCAGAACTACCTGCTGAAACTGGTGCAGCCTGAGAGCCCCATTCTTCACAGTGAGTGATGCTTCTCTAGCTGAGTACTGTCTGTGCTCTTGCCTACCTGCTAGGATGAGCTGTGCTGATGGTGTTCAGGCATGCACAATACGGACAGAGTTCAAGATATCTATTTCCTAGCCCCATATAATTTTCTGTGAAACACATATACCCAATTTCTCCCTCAGGTATCTCTTTCAGTCTTAAGCATCTCAAATTGAACTAGCTTTTCAGATCAACAACTCATCACATCAGAGCATTTGTTCTGAACACTGATCATAATGGGCATCTTTTCCTTTAGTTCTCACTTTTCGGCTTCCCAGGTGCTTAGGAAATCATTTGTCAAACTTTGAAGAGCATTTATAAAATAAACACTTTATCCCCCGACAGATCAACATCACCAAATTCTACACGTCCTCTTATATCACCTGGGATAGAAACATTCATAAGCCAAAAATCAAAACTATGGATCTGAAACATATACATTCCATGTTTTTTTCAAGTCACACTCTACATCCCTACAGAATTATCCAAGCAAAACTGTAAGTATTCACTTTGATTTGCCAAGGTTCAAGCTACAGATCCATGATTCAGATTTCAGTGCCAGAAAGGTATTATCAGATTTTAATAATAATAACCTAGGTTGACCTTTTTGGTAAAAAACCCTGTAGAATTTAATTTTCTAATTCCTGCATCAAGATCCTCATGACTGGTCAGCCAGAGCACACGCAGGAACTCTGCACCTCGCAGTCTGGTCTGACAGGCATGGGGTCGCTCTCAGCTTGGCTCTGCAATTGAAACTTCAGCCTTGATTCAATATGCTTCAAGAGCCTGAAAAATTGTAAATATGACAAATTTCATCACTGCTCAGCTCTCTCAAGTA